CTCCTTAAGGACAGGGGCTAAGCCTTTCATCTCTGTGTCCCCAGCACCTGGCAGCTAAATAGATGCTCAATAAATGCTTGATGAATAGATGACAGAATTGACAAGAGAGCCATAAATGAGTCCCCTCCCTTGGCTTCTCTGTCCCACAGCCAGAAACTCCCAAACCCTGCTGGGACTTCTGTCCAGCAGACCTTCTGTTCTCTGGACATTTCCTTCCTAGTTTAGGCCCTCCTGTATCTCAGACTCCCTTCCTCTTCTTCTCCCAAGCTGCTCTGCACAAAAACAGTCCCTTGCCTCCAACCGGGACTTCGTACGGCATCCCTTCTGTCCATCAGTGGCACACTCACCTGGTGCAATGCTTATTAGAACTGAGGTTCCTGGGCTCATATCCACCCACTAAGCCAGCAACCCTGGGAACTTGAGTATTTAACAAGGAGAGCCATTGCTGTCCAGAATATCTGAACCCAGGGTTCTACCTGCATAATTAGACTCCAATGTCCCCTTCCACTCTTCCCACATAGCCTTCCAGAGACTGCTCCGGACTGCCCTTCATTGTTCCTGGAGCCTACTTGGTACTTTTCCCACTACAGACTCTTCACATACTCTACCCTCTCCTTGTGTTCAAGCCTCATCAGAACCTCTGGCCTCCTTTTTCTCTTGCTATCTAAATCATGCTCAAAGTCTCCTGCTCAGGACACAGTCCCTGCTCAGGTCCACAGACACCTTCCCCCCACCCCTCACACGATGCTGACTGCCTGTATGCCAGCAGCCTTCACTCTTCCTGGCGTGTCTCTTTCCACAGGCAGGGACTCTCTCCCCAAACCCTCCTGCTCACCAGCTCCTATCCTATATGTCTAACTCCTGATTCAACGATACCAAAGCCTGATACCCATTTGACTGAGAAGCCAGAGGCTATGCAGGACAACACACAATGATCCACACCCAGGACATTTAGAAGTCTTCCTCAAGGGCAACATCTTAAGAAAACTTCCCTGCTAGGGATAGGGGTGTTCAGTAATAGAGCATTCCAGAAGCCTTCCATTTCATTCCTAGTACTGAGGGAAGGAGGAGGAGGAGGAGGAGGAGGAGGAGGAGGAGGAGGAGGAGGAGAAGGAGGAGGA